GGCAATAGTTCCGAGAGTGGGGCGCAGGAGACTCTGCTGCCTTTTCCACCTTTTTTTTCCTGTCTTTCACTTTCTCGAAATAGGGCACAATCGCTCCTCTCCCTTTTTTTTATTTTAAAATAAAAGTTATTAAAATATTTATTTAACTTTTTTTAGAAAAAAGTAGATATAATGAAAGTTTTTATAGGGGTGTCAAACGGATCGGTTGGTCGGATTCGGGTCAAATCCGAAATTGACCTGTCATTATTCGGGTAAACTCGAACCCGACCCATTTTTTAAAAAGGGTCGATTTTTCGGATTAGAATCGGACCCGGTTCGGGTGCTGGTCAACCTGACCCGACATGAATGATCCTGGATTGACCCAAAATTGCTAGTTTTTAGGTCAAAAATTGGGTAAAAAAATAGGTAAAAAATGTGTCAATCTTCTGGTCAAATACGAGGTTTCGTGTCAATTTCAAGTCAATTTCGGGTTGCTGGGTCAACCCGAATTAGACCCGATTTTTAAAACGGGTTGATTTATTAAACTCGAACCTGACCTGTTTCGGGTTCGGGTCCGGATTGACCTTAACCAGAATTTTTTTTGATCAGATTCAGGTCGTGTCACAAATTGACACCCCTAAGTTTTTATGCTGAAATATAGTTATATCAGCTACATAAATTTACGAAATTGACACTTGCCAAAACTTTAAGGTTTTTTATATGTATAAATTATTTATTTATATTTCATATTTATATGAAAATATAAGAATAAATGATTATTTCATTTTAAAATAGATAATGATATAACTAAAGATAGTCATCGGCTGGGCCCCAATGACCTTAACAAATATTAAGAGTACTCAATAAGCCTGTTTAATTGGTGATTGATATGTTTTATCATACATAAACGGATGGTTAAGCTAGTTTCGAATTATTTTAAAATAGATAAAAATTTAGGGCCATTTATTTTATGATTGGAATGGTGGAGCCAACCTACATATTGCCTAGATTTGATCACGAGGTGGATAAATTATTTTGTGTGGACGCCTGATCATGTCCTAAGGCCAATCAGAACGCGTCACGTTTTGATTGACCTTCGGATCGTCGACACATAATAAATTCTCCAAGAGCTAAGCTTAAATTACGCAAAGGTTATATTATTATTATTTTTATAAAAAAATTAAAATAATCTAAAGTTTCTTTAATTTAGTTTCTTCATAATATAAGTATTATCTAAAATAATATTTTATATTGTACTTACGATAGAAAATTGATTGTAATTTAGTCCATCAATTTTATAAAATAAATTCTTTTGAATTAATTTTAACTTTTAAGTAATTGAAAGACTAAAAATTAGAGTAGTTTAAAATATTATTTTTATTTAGAGCACGGATTGTAAGAAATTTAATAAATTAATTGGAGCACCGACTTGACCGCCGTGTACAGCAGCATCGTACAGTTTTTTTTAAGTATTTAAATAGGGAGTCTGACGGTACATATAGCTGCAGGAGGGTAACCCCACCAACGCGTGCCACGAGGAGGAAGTAAATAAGGAGACGATGACCACCGGGGAACAATAATTTGCATTGTTCACTGCGTTTTTTTCTTTTTTCTTTTTACTTTTAACGAATTTATAGCAATTTTATTTGCTCGATCAAAATAATTAGAAAATAATAGTTAAATAAAACTATAATTATGATTAGAAAAAAATAATAATTTTTTTTGAATTGTCTGAAATAATAATGTAATTATTATTTTTTTGTTTACATGAAATGTTAATTATGTATAATAAAATAATTATGTAAAAAAACAGAGAGTGGTCCAATTAAAGACTACAGCGTCAGGAGCCGTTGGAACAGCTTCAGGAGCTGTTCCCAGTCATGGCAATAGCACTACCACAACTCTGTAGCGCGGCACCCTTCTCTTCCCACCTCTGCTCGAATGAATGCCATCAAAAATGGCTACGAAAGTAACAGTTGACAAAAATAATTAATAGGGCTGGGGGTGCGGACCCAATGGCCCCACACAAACTGGATCCGAAACTAACTATTTAAAAAAATGTACTATAATTCACTAATTGTCTAATTTTATTTTAATTGATATCATAT